TGGGAAAACCTGTCAGGAGCCATCTCCAGACCCTGAGCTGGTCTTGGTCTTTTGAATTGATGGGAAGTACCGTCTCCCTGGAGTCAAAGAAAAAAACCCGCAAGCTGGGTCACCTGGACCTCAAACCTGCGATTCTCGATCTCGCTCTGAGCCATTGAAGTAGCCACTTAACCATCACCATAGTCGTACAGACCCACAGTATAGTAACTAGTATTAGTATATTTTAGCTGGTGTTAGCTGCAGAATGAAAGCGTGTCAACATTAGTTCAGCTTTATTTATTCAGCTCATGGTATAAGTATAATAGACTACTGTGTAAATGTAGATTCACTCTCTGTCTGGCTGGTTTATATCATCAGAATCAAAATACTTTTTACTGTCATTGTCATTGTCTACCATCCAGAAAGATATTTATAAAGCTTACAATGGTGGATTTTTATTGAATGAAAATGAATGATAACTACAGTTTTCATCATCATAAGGAGTTGTCAGTAATTATTAAAGAAGATTCTCCAATGAGACAAGCTTTAGTTCTTCTTCAAGTGCAGTGGTTCAATATTTTGGAATTATTCTAGTTTAGAATAAGACATTTTTGCATCCCAGACTTGCATGCTTGGTAAGTCTGGTTTTAAGACAAGTAAAATCAACTTATTTTGTGTCGGTCTTTGCAGTGTGTATATAAATACATGAAAAAAAAAAAAAACTTTGAATTGAGTGAAAGGTCAAAGTTGTAGTTCTAGTTAGTAGTAGGTAAAATAGTTTCAGTATGAGTAATGGTCCCTTCACTGCGCTCATTATAAATATGTTGACTCATGGCCTATTTTTCCTCTTTCTCCGCTTCATACAATGTCTTTCTGTCGCTCCATCATTGCTCCCGCCTGCCCTCCTCCTCCCCCCCCTGCTTCCTTCTGGCGGCTTGGCAGTTCTGAGGTAGTCGCTGTCTGCATAGCTAAGGGAAATGTCAACGCAGAGAGAGAGAAAAAAAAAAAAAAACAGCTAAGAGAGTGAATGTGTATGAGGCACAAAAAAAATGGGTCAGGACATTAGAACACTGCTCCCTGCACATGCTTAGTGGAGTCGTAGCGTGTAACGTTTTGGGCCATGCCTGAATCAGATCACTGTGTCCTCTCATATCCGCTGCCATGCGAGAATGTTCCCACTTCTCACTCTGCTCTTTGCTCATCAATTATTGACACCACACAACAGCAGCTTACGGCTATAAGTTCACCGCTGCAGCAATCAGTCTGTCGGTGTAATGCGGCGAGCGGGCAGCCGGACAGTGGAGCAGTGGACAGTGACAGGATGTAGAGAGATGAAATTTATAATGTCGTTAGCTGTGCCAGACTTGAAAATATGCACATTGAGGGACCTCGGCCTGCTCTTAATTGTCCTCTGCTCCAGTGTCCACATTTTACTTGAGTATAGAAACGATGAATATATAGGACTATACTAAATGCAGAACGCAAGCTATTCTAAAATCTCTATGCTAAGTTTACAAAAACAAAACAAAAGTTATTTATTCTTCTTACTTGTATTAGACCAACACTTTTTGTTCATTCAAGTCGACTGGAACTCTGGCTCTCTGAAAATACAAGATCACAGGTTCATTTGTTTTTAAAACCAAAAACTGAACCAGAAAAGAACACCTTTTAATATTTATCTCAAATATGACCTTTGCCAAGTTGGCCACTCTGGTGCCACTTTTGCATCCGATTTTAGAATTTTAGAAACAAAACTGTATTGAATTTTTATTATTATTGTACGTGCCCCTTGAAAGAGTGTCTGGAACTCTCATGAGCACTCCTTGAAAAGTAAAAATACATTCAAATACAAGACATTTTTCATGTATCTTGTCTTCTTCTAACACATAATTCTACATTTTTTTTGTACTTCTCAAATCTGCTTACATCAAGAAAATATAGTTTTCTTTAAATTAATTTAATCATCTTTCTATTATTATAGAGTGCAAATTTGAAACGTTAAATACACACATACAGTATAACCGCCACCAACATAACTTACTGTGGTTTGAATTCCATAAAATGCACATACATTAGGTCCTTGTTTGGCCTTTCCTATACTTATCTGTGCCAAACGGTCCACACCCCAAATTATTCCATGTGTTTGAAATCAAAGAGGATGGAAAATTAGCTGCTGTAGACTACCAGCTATTTTTTCTCTAGCCATTGGATGGAGCAGCCAGGAACGCTTCAGCACGAGGGGGGGCATGCAGACTGCACCCCCCTGGAGGAGGCCTGTGGGCAGATGCAGATAAGGTCCAGATAGAGCGGAGGCATCAGATAGTGCTGTGAAACACATCAGTAATAGTTTATAACTGTCTAGTGTCTGCCCCGGGTCATAAAACTTGAAGAGACTGCCCCCCACCTCACCGTTTGAACCTCGAGGACTTCAAAGTGCTAATGTTCATTTCTAAGCTGTCTGTTCTCGAAAAATTCTCTGCAGTTTTCCAGTTGTAGTGATAACAATACATACATAACTGAGTTTAGAGGCTATACTTTCAAACTTGTCGCTCAAAGACCCCTGAATATGCACAAAATCAACATGTATTTAAAGTAGTGGCAAAGCCTTCCATATATAAAATAGTGATGGACTGTTCTACCAAATCTCATTTTCATTTAAATAAATACACCACCTCCCCTCCCTCTGTGTATGTGAGTGAAAAACAATTCTTTAGAGATATTGAATATGTAACAGTATACAGACAGTAGTGGCAGTAGTAGTCTGTAGTTCTGTGAAGGTTTTTGCCAGATGCTATACCCCTATGTACTATTATGTGTTTCTGTTAGGGAATCCAGGTTTTTGGGGTTCGGCCGAATACCGAATCCACTGGTTAAGATTCTGCTGAATCCGAACCCGAATACCGAATCCTATTCCATCCTCAGTCCATTTATGTTTCATACGCAAATGTTTTAACAGCGGCGGTTTTGTGTACTGTTTAGGGTCCTTACCACCACGAGACAAATCGGCATTACAAATTGGACATGTAGCTCAACCAGAATCTATTATTATAACATTTATAATAATCCCGCTTATCATTAAACACAAATACTGTACATTCAGTTCACAGCAGTGTAAAACTTCAGTGATAAAGTACATATATTACTGTGTATGTCATGTAAAAATAAGAGCCAAAGCACCATACATGCATAAATAGCTTCCACTGGTTCAGGTCAAAACATTACATATATGGACATTTGAGAAATGTGCCAAACTCGTCAGAGTTGAGAGAAGTTAATGCTAAGAGGCTAGTTGCCTAAACACGGACTCACCAACTCTGCTTCTACGGTCATACGCAGCTCAGATGACAAGTACCTGGCACTGGTAATAGGCTCTATAAAGTTGGTGAATAGGAAGTTAGTTTATGATCCCATCAGAACCGCATTACAGGTGAAAACAAGAATCATAACATCCCCTCGCACTGACGTATAACTAGAGCTAATTGGACCGCGGGGATCACATGACCAGGAAGAGACCTCAGCGCACCCAAAGAGGAACAGAGAGCAAGAGGATATAAACCTCCGCTAAAGTGCATGTTTATTTACACTTCCGAACGAATCTGGTTTCCGTGACGAATCCAACAGCCACAGCGCGCATAGTGTAAGTGCAGGGTTTGGGTTTGGTGGGGAAAAATTATAAGGTTCGGCCAGAATCCGAACCCCGTCAAAAAAGCCAATATTCGGCCGAATCCAAACTCGAATCTTGGATTCGGTACATCCCTAGTTTCTGTACTAGTATTTTTACTGCAATAATTAATTGGAAAATATCTACAACTAGACTACTACTACTACTACTACTACTACTACCAAACCAAGGCCCTGGATCATCTCAAAATGTCCATGGTGTCTTTCTACATCACATCCGATCAACCCACCTAATTTCTGTTGAATCTGTTCAGCAGCTTATGCGCAATCAATTGGCAATCACATCATAATGAAATTTTATACATCCCAAGCCGAACGCATAATTATCACAAAAAACAACCAAAAAACGATTACAATAAAGTTGATCGTTTTTTCCTCTGCACCACGAGTGCAGAGGAAGGTTCCAGAAATATTGTGCTTCCAAAATGTTGAATTGAACCATATGTCAATACAGTAATTACGGCAACGGGTCTTGCGGTTGTTATGTCGTAATTTCAGTCGAGACAAAAGCATTAGTTGCTGTATAAGCTTGCAAGTCGTTCCATTTCGCAACACTGTCTGCAGCTTGTGTAAAAGTACTGTAAAAAATCTCATGAGTAATAGCAGAGGCTACACACACAATACAATTAATATTATAGTGGTTTTAGTGGTTAGCCGTGGCATCCATTTTGCTTTCATAATCGTAATGGTACTTTGTGATTCCTGGACACCTGTATTTACCGCACACGGTCATCAAAGTGCCCGATGCGCTCAGATAGATACTAGATCTTCTCTGTAAAGGCCTCTCTTCTCCTCTGCCCCCCCTCCTTCCTGTCCTCATACAGTCAGAAGTGCTTCTCTCTTCGAGTTAAAGCCGGAGCAATAAATAAGGCATATTATGGCCTTTTAACGCGATGAATAATGTAGAACAATAAAAAGTTAATATATAACTGCTTTACCCTCATTCTGCCATTGCCTAAGTGTATTGTCGGCTTGTCCTGGGTGCGTACGGGCGTGGGGGTCTGGTGCTCGTGAATGTGTCGGTGCGGCGGGTGCCTGTCTTGAGTGTTTGCGTGGAGAAAAAAACGCTGATGCTGATGCGAGCACATATTTTTTTACGACACAACAGGGATAGCGCCTTGTCGAGAATCCGTGCGCAGACTTGTCCTTCCTCTTTCCCGCGCTTTCATCCGCACTTCTGAGGCACTTTGGAAGCGCGCGCCACTGTAACCTTCCCGCTGTATGAAAGATGAGTCAAAAGATAGTAAAGAAATGCATTGTAATTCAGCACAGGCACAAACTTGAACCAAGGCTGATGATTTCACTCTTCTTTTCTTGTGTGTGTGTTTTTTTTAACGCAGTCCCGAATGCAAACCCTGCGGCGCCGGAGACCCCGAAATCAGACGAGGACAATGCAATCCCGGAGTCCAGTCCCAGCCCATCTGACCACAACCGGATAGGCCCAGTGATGCCAGGAAACCATGGTGAGCAGATTGACATTATACACATGAACACATGCGGCTCAGACCTCAAATCCAAAATGGCTGACAGCGGGGAGGTTCACATTGCACCGATACAGAGACTAAAGGCTATATTAGTAATGTTATACGTACACTGACATTTTTTCTCTAAAATGCCTCCAAAATCCAGTCAATCTTCAAATTGAATCTGTCTGAGAACCCATTGGAACACAAATAAATGCCTGGACTATAGTTTTGGCCTCTGATTACTCATTTACTCTAGTTATAAGTGGGAACAATCCTTACACAGAAAAAGATCAAACTCCAAAATCTGGCTACTTGTTCCTTGGTAAATATACAGTAGATAAATGTATTAGCTGTTGTCTGGACATGGGATCTTTTTGACTGTAGAAAAAGCACATTTTGGGTTATAACTTTTCTACTTTCATAGCTGAGGGAAATGTCACTGGAAATGAGGATTAGAGACCCGTGAAAAAGAAAACATCTTCAGGGAGAACCCATGTAAAATCCCTTCTTTGGACTATATTTTATCTGTGAGTTTGGAGTTCAGTCAAACTGGTGCAGGTCCATCTGTGTTTTGTGTTTGATGGCTGTATAACTGGCGAAACATGTAAATTAGAGCAAAGTCCAGGGGTAATGGGATGAGAACAAGCAGTTGTGTAAGTTCTTAGCCTTTATCTGATGACAGGGACAAACATTTTATTAAAACAAAGGCTGTTGAATTGTTAAAACAACGCCTTGAGGTATGTCTGCAATAATTAATGGAAAAAATTGGAAATCTAAAAATCAGCTTTTCTAAAGTCATTAAAATTTCCGAGCCTGGGGCATTGCTTTGATTCACATGGGTTAACAAATAGGTGCTTATAAGTTGTCGTTTTGATTAATGGCAATACAAATGAGCACTGGAACAATTCATCTACCAAAACAAGCATATTACCTCGATTCACCCATCAAGAGATATGTGCTGATAGGGGGCTAGCAAATACATACATATTTTTGTACTGTCTCTATTTTTCCAAAACGGCAACACAACAACATAATACCTAATAATCTACATCTAGGTAAAAAAAAAGATTCAAGAATTTATTTGCCATTTGCAGTAAAACCACCTTGGAAAAACTGTGCAAGACTACTACCCCAGTGTGCAGCAGGATAGTACACACCAGATCTTCTGCCTCGACGCCATGCGAAAAAATTACATTACAATTTCTTCTGTTAATACAGGGGTGTCCAAACTTTTTAGTAAGACCTTTAGTTCACCAGACTAGTTCAGGGGGTGACATCACGGACTGAAAAACTGGCATTGGGCTGTTCTGAGATTTATGATGATCTATGACAGAGCTGAAGTTGGCTGAATGACAAATGTTTACCATCTCACCAGCTACATTAGCACCATTACTACTACTTACTACTTTGGGTTGGCGGGGCAGAGGGCCACAAAAAATGACACTGAGGGCCGCGATTGGCACCCGGGCCTGAGTTTGGACATGCCTGTGTTAATACCATTTTCCAAAACTGAAATTACTCCCCAAAAAAGTCTATTACGCAGACTTATAAGAGAGATTTTTTAAAGTTCCCCATAGTGAAATGGAAAAGTTCACAGCCATTAAACTCAATATAATTATCACTTTAACAAGACTAGTGGCTGTGTGTAGTTGAGACAAAGGTATTAGTTGCAGTTAAAGCCTTCCAGTAGTATAGTAGTAGTAGTAGTAGCAGTAATAGCAGTAATTGTAGTGTGTAATAGAGCATGTATAGGTTTATGTAACTATGAAATATACATTTTTATCAGCTGCACATCAAATCCCCAACACCAACCATCCAGCTGGAATTGCTTGCTGGATGTATTGTTTCCCAAGTCTACACTGCAGCCAAGGAGACTCAAAGGCAGACTTCTTGTTAATACAATTCTTATTTTGTTTTGTACACCTCATTTGAATTGCAAATAAACACAGATGAAAAGCTCAGATAATTGAAGAAGTCATTGAGGACTCCTTGGCTGCTCTGGGCCCCGCCTATGCTTCCTGTTTTGCAGCAGCACCTATCACGGAGCATGGAGAGAGTTAGCCAGGTTCTTTTTTTAATACTGTCTGACTCACTCGACAAACTTCTAACTGCTCTCTTCTCTGCCTGCCCCGATGTGATAAGGCTATTTAATATTTGCTTATTATTCGACCGGGTTTATCTAAAGACTGGCTCGTGTCATCATAAACTCAATTATGATTTTAAGTTTTTGTATCTTGTTTGTATCATACCAACACATAAAATCACCATTGTTGATTATTTGATGAGGACGAACAAGCGACTCAATGAACTTACCTCAAAAACGTTACAAACACAGTGTCATCCAGCCAACTTCAGCTCGACCAATATAGAAATGCTATACCTTGTTGTGAAGCTCAGAATATTAAGAACCCGGACGTTAACTTTTTATGTAAATACTGACAATTGTTTTTGTCTGTATCCCACAATTCCATGTATGGCGCTAATGTATCCGTACTGAGATAGTAAACACCAGTAACTTCCACACCAGTGTGAATCTTGACTATCTGCGTTGTCGGTAAACAAGTCTGGTAAACTATTGTGGCCCTCTTACTAAAAAGGTTTAGACACTCCTGTTCTAAAACATGTCATGACGAATAGTTTCATTGTCATTTTGAATGCTCCCGATTAAACAAATGGAATTCTGAGAAATATATATATATTGAGAGACTCCCAAAAAAATTTTTTTTCCGAAATATTTAAAGTAATTTACAAGGCATTTACCTATACTCATTTTTAAATATGTGCTAAAACTGGTGAATATAACTAGGACTATAACAAAGGCTAAATGCTAACAGTAAACAGTGTGTTGCTATAGTAACTAGCACTGGCTCTAGATAATTCAATAATGACATAGCAATAAACTATATAAAGAAACAGAAAAGCTCACAAAATGATGAAGACCAAAAAACTTACAGTACATAGGCAGAGCAATTACACTTCCAAAACTAAAAGCCGTCAAATTCACTGCTCAGGGAGTGCTAGTGTTAAAAAATAATGCATCTTATTTCTTCTTCATGAGATTTCAAAACATGCGTTTAAAGGATCCATATTTAACACAGTAATTCGAAACAAAGTATTGGTGCTTCCACTCCCCCTCTGCAGCTCCAGCGGGGAAGAGTCCGTGTGCACTTAGGGGCCTCGACATGCGGAGAATGAGCTTTAGTGACAGGCTCCCGCAGCAGCTCCACGCAGCGCCTGGATGGACCAAATTCCTCTCGGCTTTGATTTCACTGATAAGACGCAGCACCGGTAGCTTTTCAGTGATGTCATTAGCCCCCATAAGACCAGAGCTATCCGCCCCATGTCCCGGTTAAATACATGGTTAGTGCTCATTAGTGCGGCTATGAGGGCTTCTGTGGGACGTGTGGGGAGCGGGGCCGACGCAGCAAGTGCCTCATTTAAATACTTTTGAATGACTGGAGTAGCATTCGGGAAAAGGCTATATGTATTTGACACATTTTAGCTTAAATCTCATTAAAGTTTTTTCAGTACATTTTGATAATGTCTGCCGCACAATGGGGATTTTTGCCAATGTATTCCAATGGGGTTTTTCTGCAAATGGCAAATACAATTAATCTGAATCTGATAAGTGTCAGTGCTACTATAAATGTGTAGATTTTATGATCAAAGTTTATAAAAGTAATTGTGTTGGTAGATTATGAACATTACCACTAAAAATAGATTTGGACAAACTTACCCGAAATTACCCGGTAATGCAAAGCGCTTTGAGCTTCATCTGTGGAATGCGATATATAAATAAACATTATCCACTTACTTGATTTATATTTTGGACACCATAGACACATGCAGAATGATGAAAAAAATAAAATAAAATTCATTAGGATTGAGATAATGACCACGACATATACAGCATTACACACAAAATACTAACAGAAATATATGTTTTGCTCTCATTTAAGTACAATTGTTATGTTTGGAAGTGCTATGGAGTTATACAGGATGTTTTTGACTCGATTGTAGTGTGGTGATCAAAAGGTAAAAAAAGAGAGGTCTGAGGCAGTCCTTTATTAAAAATGGACTGCTATGGAGTTATATTTGTTGTGTTGTGTGTTTGAAGATTTGTCTGTACTATTGGTGGTATAGTACTTGTTGGACTTGGAGAAGAAGCAGCCATATTTGTTGATAGCGCTGATAGTTGCAGCAGTAGTATTTTCCTGAGCCACTACAAGTACTTATAGCGTGTACTTCCAGCACTTCCCCCGAGTCGGTGACAGTAAAGATCGCTGCGGCGGGGGTTCTCTCTCTGGCAGCAGCTGCTCGCATACATGGAAAACAGATTTGGTCGGACTCAGGTTTCAACTCAGTCATTCTCTCTCATCTTGTAACAGCCACCCCTCCCTCCTCCACAGTACCACCACACTGCCCCCCCTCCCCTTATGGTCCCAGACCTCATAGACAAAAGGATGAAATAAATTCAAGATGTTCCCCAGCTTGCTCGCATCCCACTGAAAACAAAAGTGCCCTATTGACATGATGCAATGTTATCGAGGTGGAATCTGGATTGTGTTGAAGTGCGGACCGCAGATTTAGTTAAAGGAAGGCTATTTTGATTGAGGTAATTCACTTCGATTACTTCAATGGGCCTGTTAGTCCTGGCAGGGCAAACAACAAATGGCGTGATCACGGTTGATTTAGGGAGATCCGTTCATGACAGGACCAGTTAGTGGTAAATGCTATCACTATCCTTTGATTGTTGGAGAGAGAAACGCTGCTCAAACTATTTGCATCTGTCCCGCAGCCAAGTCAGTCCCGCCCTTATACAACAACCGCTACTTTTCCTGCTCCCTACTTTAAACCAATTTCCTATTGCAAGATAACAATGAGACCATTTAGCTCACTGTATTGCACAACTGTGCTATTCCTGTAAACAGCAGCTACCGTTTCTCCTTTTCGTTATAATTGAATAAATACATAAAATTTACTGCTTTCATTCCCAGCCAGTAACGAACACATTTTGAGGCACATTGAAGCTGTATGGCACTGAAAACATGAATCTAAAACACTATTTGTCAAACATTAACAAGCAAGACGATTCAACAAACAAACAACTAACTCAAACAATAGTTAGCAAAGGCGTCATACATCTGAAATCTAATCATAGCAAGAAAAAAATAATGTCCCCACTATTGCAACATACAACAATTATCAAATGATAAGCTCATATAGTAATTATTGCATCAGGCCCACTCTAATTTAGCTGTCTTTGGATTGCATGGTTGTGCCGAATGTCTGTACTTAAAATTATGTTTATAAAATGTTTCCAGATGATGGGGGAGCAACCTTCCTTTGTTTTGAATAATCCCTGTACGACTCAGAGTTTACACAAATGTATGTGAGAATGGGGTTATACCAGTCATATAGATTGGTGTTTTTTTTTGGATACAGAGCGTGGACACATAGATAGTACATTCATCGTTCTCTAAAGAAAGACTGTCAGATGTCTTGTAAATAAATGTGTAATAGAATTAAATTAACAGTTTCTTTCTCTATCTCCACAGACCACATGAACCAGGACCAGTCCAACACGGCCTCCAACTCGGACGGGATCCTGGGCTCCAAAGTGGCCGTGTTCTCCGCCATCGCCGCGGGCTGCATCATCTTCTTGGTGCTCATCCTGCTTCTGGTCATCCTCCTCATCAAGATGCGCAAGCGTTCCCGCAAGAACACGCACTCGCAACCTCGTCCCTCCGCCCTGTCCCTCAGCACCCTGTCCAACCCCAAGCTCCCGGGGGGCACGGCCGGGACCGAACCCAGCGACATCATCATCCCCCTGCGGACAGAGAACAACTACTGCCCTCACTACGAGAAAGTGAGCGGCGATTACGGCCACCCGGTCTATATCGTGCAGGAAATGCCTCCGCAGAGCCCCGCCAATATCTACTACAAAGTCTGACACCCTTGTACCTTTAGCTTCAATTCCTCAACACAGATACATAGAGGAGCGCTTGGTTTTTTCGGAAGTTTGAGAACACTTTTTTCGCATTCAGGGGGGACATTTGTTTTGTACCACCTGCTGCACAAATCTGGAGAGACAAGCACTGGCCAGTCACCAGCAGGGGTTCGCAATCTCTGTTTGTTTGGATTTGTCTGAGAATCCCGTGCTCCCCAAACACCCCCCCCCCCCTCCCCTCATCCCGTCGTAATCTTCTATAGCCTTCCCCTCACGCAGCAACCGACACCCCCTGATGTGTCCCTGCTGGGCTACCATACACAGGGGCTTGGATAGAGTGGACCTACACGCGTTGGACACTTCTGCGGCCATCTCATTCCCCGCGGTGCGAAGCTGGAAAACAGGCCTAGACAAGCCTTTTGAATCTCGCATCTTGGGGTTTATACAAAGCGAGCTCGTAATAGTGTGAGTGCCGGCGCGAATGCTTGTGTTATACCAGTCTCCAGATAGCTCAGGTATCCGACACAGTGCGTGAAAAACAAAAACGTGTTCCTATATCCCTTCTCGCACCTCTAATGTTTGCCTTACTATTTTTGATGGAGGATTTCCCTGATTCAGTTCACAAAGCAGTTGTATTTTGTTAGACTTTTTTCCTACGAGTGCACAATGTATAGATAATGTCATTCAAAACATTTAACACTTCCACGCTTTCATCCATTATCGCTCATATAATCTCATTACAAAGACTACCTATCGCTGGACTTTCAATGTCGAGGTGTGTCCAGTAATCCTTTGACTCCACCCGTCTTAGGCTGGTATTTATGACCTACTTATTTGAACGTGTCTCTTCTCAGTGATTGAGTGTGTGGATGGGCGAGTCCGGGCCAATTGAGGCAACGTTACTGTATCCAAACCCCCCTCGAACAAGAAAGCGACTCTGACGTGCCAATAGACAGACAGGATCTTAGGAGAAATCCTCTATTTGGCAGTTATTAAAAAGTTCTACCATCTTAACGGCGGGTTGCAATGTTCAGACTGTTCGGCATGTGCTAATTTGTTTGTTCTAGCTTCTAGTGGTACCGTGTAAACAACCAACACTTAGTTTACTGCTCGCTGTGCGGACTCAGTGGGCGTAGGTTGAACTCCTGCAGACTATTAGCTGTAGGTAGTCTGTCCCTGCTAATGCAATGTTGGACGGGGTGAAGATACTGTATTGTCTATTGCCAATTGCCATCTGCAGCCGTCTAATGACTAATCCATGTGCTATCTCGGTGCCCACTCTTAGCAGCAGGCAGCAGAGCCGAGGAAAATGGCACAGAATCTATTCATATGGCTTAACCTTCGAGGGAGGTGGCAGTCGCGATGGGGATTGGGGGTTCGGGAAAGGGCTAAAGTTTGAGACGAGGTTTCGTTTGCAGGTGTTTTAGCATTCATTTTCCCCGGCCTCCTGTGCGCTGAATAAAAAATGCGGTGCAAAATATTCTCAAGTTGAGGCAGAGGGGAGGACAGTGGAGTTCAGCTTTCTTTCAACCCTTGGGCATGGACATAGAATCTAGGGGAGCACCACGACCCGTTTTGCAGGAAGGTTAAGCACAATTCCCTGCTTAAAATGATGGTCTTTTTGATAATACACTTAATTTGGGATTTAATCACAACATACAAAGCAGCTACAAATCCGAAGCTGGATAATTGTAGTCTAAGTGGTGCTCTTTGCTTTCAATTTACTCCTCTGAATCATTTTCATGCTCTTTTAATGACAACACGTTAGAAACAGATTTGCTTGCCTACTGTTACAAGCTCTTTCGGGTTTGCAGCCTTGAGATTTAGCAGAAATACAGTTCAATGTTATTTATGGCAAAGATAAAATTCCAACATATCCCCAGATGACATATGCTTCTCCCAAAACCCAAAACAATACATGTCTCTCAATATTGCCATTTCTTTTCCATTTTGTAAGCAAGCGAAATGAATCAATCTCTGTCAATTGGACCCTTGCAAAAATGACTCGGAAGAAAGTTTTGCCCCTGATTCACTCACTCTATTTTGCAGTCTCCACCTTCTACAGTAATATGTGTGAACGCGTGTTGTATGCTTTTTTCCATTTTTTTTTTTGCAACAGAGCACAATCTCTTGTTTTCCTGGACTAAAGAGGAACTTACTTTTGCTCGGTGCTCCGAAATAGTGCGACTGCCAAAGCGTACACGCCGCAGTCCCAGTTAATGATGTGTGAGAAGAGGTGAGGGAGGCAGATAAGGACAGCTATTCCTCAAGTACGACCATAGCCTGACATTTTTGCATATCCACAAAACGCACCGAGACTGACAAGCCCAGGTCCATCCTCTGTCATGTTTATTCACCCCCAGAGACACCCCCATCATACGCTACGCCGCTATCCATTCAAGGAAGTTTAAAAAAGGTGGCCCCTGCCTTGTTCGCTTGAAGATTTTTTTGTTGGAGTTCGGCAGGACTTGAGACTTTTGCGTGTACCGTTAACCTCGGAGTTAACAACTTGCGCAGCTGTTTGTGATCTCTGTATTTTTTTTTTTTTTTTGTAAGCCTGCGTTTCGACTCAGCGTGGAGCCCTCTGCGAAAGACATCTAGATCAAATATTTTTGTTTCGGATCATCGCGCGACCGCTCACCAACACCAGCCAAGGGACTCATTACCAAATCATCACCACTACCGTCATGCTTCTCCCATTTTCCATTCATCCAAGTGACCACTTATTAATGTTATTCGAATTTGAATACTGAGTTTAAAAATAATGTAAATATATGGATAGAGCCCGATTTTAAAGATGTAATTTCACCTGAACACTGCTCATAAGAAAATTTAAAAGATTAGATTTTTGTAATGGAGGATGTTTGTAAATAGCTGTCTTTTTAAAAAAAAAAAAACGTGTGTTTTGTATGAATCCTTGCATTTTGTCTCTGTTTGCAATATGTTTTCATTATTTTATTTTTTCTTTTAGAGGTAAATTGTATATTGCAATCGACACATAAGCTGTCATTTTGCAGCGTCCAGTATTGTCAGAAGTCTTTGTTACCACATGTGTTAAAAAACTGGGGTTCATATTTTATTTTCTTTCACTATTCAACAGGAAATGAAAAGAAATATAAAGCTTTGACACAATCCTTTGAAATGAACAGGTTGTTGAGACTATGAATGACAGGGATACAGCACTTAGCTCTGCAGATGAAGACTGTTTTCCACTGCCTTTGCTTACACCGCTCCTTAATGGGCAAACATTTGGGTGAATAAGAATGATTTTTAATAGGTCCATTGGGCCTGACAGAGAAGGAGTGGAGAGGAAACTGAGAGGGAAGAGGCAGGCGGCCATGTTAGAAAGTGACCGCACAAAGGCATACTATAAATCATGCTTTTCTCTGGCCATTATCTGCCGGCGGTCCTTTGTTCTAAACTCTTCTCTCTGCTCCATTGTTGACTCTTTCTTTCCAGAATTAGCACGAGGAGGTCCACTGCGCGCTTCACTGTAGGACGATTGTGCGACTATTGTTCAAAGCCACAGTATTATTTTCAATGTGCATGTGTAAGCAAAACCTGTTGAATTTGTTCCCTTTGTTTTTGAATCATAACTGTCAGTTTTGTTATTTCATTTCTCGCCATTCACATTGTCGCAGCTTCCCAGCGTAACCTATTGGCACCAGCTACAATGGAAATAATGTTCCACCAGTTTGGAAACTACCGCATATTGATAAATAAAATTTTTCCCATGGAAGTTGTTCTTGTGTGATGTTTTCTTTTAAATTAGTGCTTTTGACAGTCACAATTTTACAGCCAAGGTATATTGCACAAAACATACTTAGTTTCGCATGTCATGAAAACCAAATGGCTTCTCCCTTTGGCTTCCCACACCATCCATATTCAATTTTCCCAAATGCCCTTTTCCACGAGAGATACGACTACACTGACCTTTGCTTTATTAAATTGTTTTAACAATCTTACTTATACTAAACCTCAATGTGACCCAGTTCAGGAAACAAGCGCTGCAGATAGAAACATTTGTCCGACATTACTTCAACCATATTAATATTATAAGTAGATTGAACAAATCCATAGGTGCTTTCGGAGGTGACCTGGATAACATGGTATAGGTTAAAGGTGCACAGTTTCAGCCCCTCACTCATCATCCTGCAGGTGGTGGGTTCACAGGAGGCTGCTCTGTCACAGCCTTGGTCTTTCAGCCAGGGCTTCAGGCAGAGTGGGGTAGAGTGTCTTGCCCAGGGGCACAACGACACTAGACAACAGTGGGAGTAGGTGACATCACTCAAACCCACAACCATTAGACCAATGATCTTCCAACTGAGCCACTGTCGCCCCTTAGAACCTCATTTGTCAGTGAAAAAAATACACACAATATGACGCAACATTAGATTAGGTTAGACTCATATTTTTTGTCAGAACATTGCGATAATATGCAGTTTAGCATCTAACTAGGGCAATAGAATAACATCCACAACACAGATAAATATAGATGCATGCGGTATAATGTGAGTCATGTCATTTTCTTCCCTTTTATTATTCCATTTCTGGGTCAGGGGTGAGGGGCAATCAGAGCTGCCACCCAAGTCTCAAAGCACCAGTCCCTTGCTGATCCTCCTGCAGGTGGTGGGTCCACAGGATGATGACTTCTCCGTCATCAAGGACATGGCTCGGTCTTTCAGCGGGGGCTTCATGCACTTGCAATGTACAATCTAAGGTTAGATATGAAGTCGTTAGGTGAGGTGTTACTGGTTTGTCTGAAATATTGCACAGAATGATTTAAAGCTACCTCTGTTACGTGGAGTGAAAAACAAGGAGACCCAAAAACGCAGAACTGCAAACTAATGGATTTGATAAAAAGTAAAACAAACACAAATCCAGCAAAAACACAGGGAACGAGGACAAGAAATGACAAAAGCGAGGAACGACAATGACAGAACAGAGTGGAACACATGGGGCTAAATACAGTACAAGACTAACGAGACACAGGTAAGGAAGTAAGTCATTTTTATTTATGTACCGCCTTTCAGAGACCAGAGTCACAAAGCGCTTTACAATTGTAGGCATTTGTCTCTCGCTCCACACAGAGATGGGAGTGAGGTCGCCAGTACAGGAGGCGCATGCCAGACCTAATGTACATGTTTTTAGTGGTAGAGGTACCTGGAGGAAACCATGTTCCCCAGGGAGAACATGCAAACTCCACTCACTTTCAAACTAAAAAAAATTGACTATGCACTGAAGATAAGATACAACTTCATGGATCTCACACTCAGGGTGTGCAAAAAGACAGGAAATCCATCTTCCTAGTTCTTCACTTTGGTTCAAGCTGTTTTCACCTCTGTCACATCTTTAGATCCGTTTTTTTCATTCATACATAAGAGTGACAAGTAGAGGACCGCCCGCACTCAGACATAGCTCTCCGCCCAAAG